ATTATGTGCATATATCCCACACACCCAGCTATCCCTATATACAGGATGTATAAAGACAGTGAAATACAGACATGTATAAAAATACGTATATATTCCTATAACAATGTGTCTGTGTATATACATACTTATGCAGTATATATAAAATGTGTGTATATGTATGTCTGTATACATACCAAGATGTGAGAGGTTGTCTATGTATATACATAGATATTTTATTTAAATACATGTATTAAATATATTCTAAATATTTAGATGTATATTTACATGGAGAGCTATGTAAAGGGGCAGGGGATGTGACAGAGGGAGAGATGGTCTCTGAATATATATTACAGACATGAAAAATGTATCTATGTATAATATACGTTTATATCCTCATATACACATACATGCACATGGAGATCTATACCTCTATAGATGTACACGTAACATCATGAATAAGTATGTAAATGTATAGTTGTAAATGTATATAATGTATTTTTATATATCCCTGTAGATACATCCCTACAGTGATATACAAAGGAAGATACACATATGCTTATTAAAGATATCTTCTGGTGATAGATAGATATACAAAACATGTATGTGATAGTGTCTCTGCATCTACATACAGAATTTGTATGTATTCTGTACTATATAAAATGTGAATGTGTGTGTATATATAGGTGTAATGTCTAATGTATACCCACATAGAGACGTGGATGTATAAATGTGGTAAGATATATGTGTAATGTGTTACATGTAGTGGATATAAATTGGTGTGTATGTCATCTATTGGTAGAATGTATTATGTATCTATATCCCTGTATATAGATTTCCCATATATATATACTGAGAGGGGAAAAAAGGTGTGTGAGTATATATATTACTTAAAAATTACTTTAAAGCAGTGTGAGACTCTATACACGCCTTTTATATCTGTATAATGTATGCATTTGATATATAAACTCTAAGTGTGTGTATATACGTATATAGGTACGTATGGTATTCTATACATAGGTGTATCCCTCTACATCCCCCATGCATGGGTGTGCATAGATATAAAGCTATTTATGCGTGAATGTGTGTGTATGCAGACAGACAAAGATGCATGTATAGCTATGTAGGTATTTCATTTATGTATATATTATGTAAAGATATATTTGTCCAGAGCAGCTGTGGATGCCCCATCCCTGGAAGTGCTCAAGGCCAGGCTGGATGAGGCTTTGAGCAACCTGGTCTAGTGGAAGGTGTCCCTGCCCATGGCAGGGGGGTTGGAACTAGATGGGCTTTAAGGCCCCTTCCAACCCAAACCATTCTGTGATTGTATTAGAAAATACATTTGTATATACAAATATGTATTGCATACATTGTATATAAAATGTGGTAGATATATGGCTATAATGTAGTTTAAATGGGGATACTTAAACCTACATACACATTCTCTGTGAATATGGATGTGTATATAAGTATACATGTATATTAAATCTGTATGTATGTGTGTGAGAGACTGTATACAGACATAAATTACATAGATCTCTAAAAAATACCTGTGTACACATACAGGTATGCAGTATTACCTTTATTTCTGTGTAACTGTATATACACCCCCATTATGTACATGGCTGTACATGAAGATGTAAGAGTATGTACGTAGGTGTATAGATAAGTATACATGTATATTAAATCTGTATGTATGTGTGTGAGAGACTGTATACAGACATAAATTACATAGATCTCTAAAAAATACCTGTGTACACATACAGGTATGCAGTATTACCTTTATTTCTGTGTAACTGTATATACACCCCCATTATGTACATGGCTGTACATGAAGATGTACGAGTATGTACGTAAGTGTATAGATGTTTAGAATCCCAGACTGGTTTGGGTTGGAAGGAACCTTAAAGATCATCTAGTTCCAACCCCCCTGCCATGGGCAGGGACACCTTCCACTAGACCAGGATGCTCAAAGCCTCATCCAGCCTGGCCTTGAACACTTCCAGGGATGGGGCATCCACAGCGTCTCTGGGCAACCTGTATCATTGAAAAAGTAGACGAAAGGAGCAGGAGGAGTGAGTGAGTGTATGTACATATATATACATATCATTTTACATGTGTGTGCGTTCACGTATAGGTGTAATGTATACCCCTGTATATACGCAGAGTGAGATATATGTATATAGTTATATATAAAGGCATATTATATGTGGGGTAGATATATACACACACATATATTCCCCATATCTATATGGATAAATCTGTATATCAATATCTGTATATAAAATGGGGGGGTGAGAGAGAGACTCTATAATGTACCTATGTATTATATGTATATGTATGTGTCTGCACCTGTATATGGTACTACTTGTAGATGTATATCCTTCTACATGCAACCCCATAATATAGCTGGGGATCTATAAAAAAGGTGCGTAGCTGTGCCTGTGTTCAAGTGCAGGGACAGTGTATTACGTATGTATACCCCCATGTCCAGATGTCCCGTGTATGGAGACACAGTCAGCTGGGTAAGTGTTCGGATACAAAAGTAAGTGTGCCCGTGTGTGAGAGAGCGCATGTGCGCCTCTATTCTGTGTAATGACAAATGTCCTGTGTACGTAAGGGGGGGCTAGGTGTTATATGGTATCTGTACCTCAAATGTGTGTGCTGACACTTATTTGTGTATACTGTGTTATATATGGGGCTCCTAACGCACACTCTCACCATGTCTGTGTGGATAAATGTGTATATGTATGATGTTTATATAAAATGTGTGTGAGAGAGTGTGTATAGACACACACACAGAGTGCAGAATACATGCACATACATGTATATAGGTGTACAGTATTATTTATAGGTGAGCATGCCTCTGTTCATCCCCGTCATGCACATGGTGACGTACCTATGATGTGTATATACAGCTATGTAAAAAAGGAGGGGGGTATGTTCCTGTATAGCTGTAATGAACTTTATATAGATATCCCATAAATATGCACACCCAGAGAAATATATAGATGTATTTATATAAAGATAGGGGGACTGTGCATATTCTGTTCACGAACAGATAATTATATGTATATGTGTACATACATGTAATATTTGTACATTCTAGGTATAATGTGTTATATAGAAAGACTGTGCTATAGTGCATATATATATAAACATGTCTGTACATACATAGCTATAATACATTATACATGGGACTTGCATATACACACGTATTCTCCAGATGTATGTGGATATATCTATGTTTAAAGAATGTGTAGGAGGTGAGGAGAAAGGTGTGTGTATAATGTATTTTATACATATATATACACACGTGTGTGCACACATTATATGCACAGGTGTGTATATATATAGGTATTATATAGATGTATATTCCTCTGTATACATCCCCATAATATACTTGGAGATCTATAGAAAAATGTGTGCATCAACACGTCTGTAGATATAATTTATAAGCTGTTTAAATAGTGTGTGTGGGTTCATATTCAAGTATAATGTATTATATATGTATATACATCCCCCAGATATATACACACACAGTGAGAAATTTATATAGGTAAGCATATGTATGTGTCACATGTATTCCCTTTAAAGACAGGGGACTACATACTACATATGTTTCTACATATGTATACATATAAAAATGTACATGCAGAATTGTACTGTATTATATGTGGGGCTTATACACACATATTCCCTGTATCTATATGGATAAAGCTATATATGGATAAAGTATATAAAATAGGGGTAGGTTGGAGAAAAGACTGTATATACATCTATGTATTTTATATATGTGTGCATGTGCACATAAATACAGTATTATTTATAGCTGAGTATCCCTCTGTATGCATCCCCCGTTATATACAGGTGGAGATGTATAAAAGGTGTATCTATGTATCGTTTAAAAGCTGCATAAAGGGAGGGGAGGTGTTCATGTATAGATATGATGTATTATGTGTATCCCCATATACATTCCCCATGTTTACACACACATATCCATGAAATCCACAGCAGGGCTGTGTGTGTGTTCTAACAGCAGACACATTGGTGTATAAGGTATTCTGTATATATGCGTAGTCCTTCTGTATCCATGCCCTGTCTGTAAAAATATCTGTGTGGTGAGTATGTTGGTATAGCAAGGGGGGTGTGAGTATGTGTATTGTATGATAGGTAATGATATGTATTTAGGAAGAGGGGACACTATGTATGATATAAGGTGTGTGTACATATTTCAAAAGTCTTTGTGTACATATATAGGTATAATATATATGGAGCTCCATATATATATATACACACACACTCTTCCCCATCTATATGGATAAGGCTGTATGTGTATATAAAAATGAGTGTGTGACTGCACCTACATAATAGATATTATTTGTATATTAATAGTCTTTATACACCCTCATTATACATAGATGGATATATGAAGAGATGTGTGTGTTTAGACACAGGGGGCTAATACCTGTTTTGAAAGCATTATTCATAAAGGGTTTGAAGGTATGCAGAGATGCATTAGATGTATATACATTTTCATATATGTACAGCACTTCATACACATTCTATTTCAGTACATACAAAATATACATACCTATAGTAAGAGGTGTATATGTGTAAAAGTAGACAGTATGTAAATACAGATGTGTGTATATATTTTATAAATATATATACACACATCTGGAGACATATGGTATTTATGTGTCTACGCCTATTTTCTATAGGCATATGTATCCTGTCTGTACCTATTTCTGTTTATATGTGTCTATATGTATCCTACCCATATATGTATATATATTATCTATATGTATATGTGTATGTGTCCATATGTATCCTATCTATAGGCGTCTGTATGTATCTATCTATACATATGCATATGTATCTGTCTCTATATCTAGTTATATCTGTATCCATATCTATATGGATACATATAGATAGGATATAGATACACATATCTATCCATATGTATCTGTACCTATATGTGTGTATATGTACCCCTCTATCTGGTGTGTAAATATCTCCTATCTATATCCATACCTAAGTATCCATATGTATCTGTACCTGTGTTCCCATCTCTCCTCCCTCACCTGCCCCTCCCTATCTCTCTCCCTTGCTATCCCTACCTTTCTCTATCCATATCTGTCTATCTCGATGGATCCATATGCATCTGTATGCGTATATGTACCCATACCTATCTATAGTGTTCTATCTATACGTACCCTGTCCTCTCTTGGCGTAGGTGTCTATTACCTGGGGGTAGTGGCTCTCTCCCTAAAGATGTGATCTATCTGTGTGTGTGTAAGAACAACTGTAGCACTCGGGGGGCTGTGTGAGGTAGAGATGTCCCTAAGCTACACCCCCCCCCAGGGGGCAGTGGAAGAGGGAGTGTTGTACTTCTATTACCCCAGCAGCTGCTGGCCGAGTCTCTCAGCTGCCTCTCTGTGCTCTCTCCCTGCAGACAGCGGTGTCCCGGATGCAGCCATCTGTGTGGTCACCACCACCGCCCTTGACATCCATCGCCCCAACATCTCTTCTGACCTCTTCACGGTGGAGGTGCCGATGCGGCTGGGCAGCACCGGGACATCTGCCAGCATCACCTCAGGCAGTGCCTCGCGCTCCACCGTCAGCTCAGGCACCCAGGCCTGCAGTGAGAGCAGCCAGACCCTGGGCTCCTCCCCGGACTGCAGCACGGCCTGCGAGGACACTGCGGAGGCTGGCACCAGCCTGCGGGCTGACCTGGTGCCCACCCGGCAGCGGGCGTCCTGCACCATGGTCCAGGAGCTGCTGTCGTCCCTGTCAGAGGAGGCCTGCCTGGCGCAGAAGGGGCTAGATCCTGTCAACCTGAAGCTGCCCAGCCCCGCGGGCTCAGAGGGGGCCAGTCCTGACCTGGGCCACCGGCTCAGTGTCTACAACCACAGGAACCAGGAGAGCCTCGATGTCTTCCAGCTCAAGCCGCTCATTGACTGCCCCCAGGCTGCCCCCATTGATGAGAAGTATGGGGCCCTGGGACCCCCGGAGCCACGGCTGGGCAGGGGTCCCGAGGCATAGGGACAGCCTGGGAGCATGGGGACAGCTGTGGGGACATACTTACTGTGCTTTGTCCTGAGGCTGCCACCGGCAAGGGGACAGTGCTGGAGCCAACCTGTGGCACCTCCCATAGGGCATGATGGACCTGCCCTGCCACCAGCTGTGGGCCAGGTGGCACCTACCCTCTCCACTGGGGCACAACAGCCCTTCCAGCAGGCTTCGGCCAGTGTGGACCCACAGTGCCTGCAGGGACAGGCTGGGGCACCGTTCCGGCGGCCGC